TCTACGTCATTATCTTTTTCCTTCTTGTTATCTTGTATGTAACGTCACATTATTTTGCTTCAGATGTTTTTTAGTAGTGGTTGGGACTTTTCAAAACCGAAGATACAAAACGATTCCCTTTTAATTAATTTTATTTATTTTTAAGAGTTGTGAATTATTTCTATTTCTATATGAATATTTTTGAGATTAAAAAGATTTTTTTTTGTAAATAAAACTTGTATTAAGGTGTATTATGTAAGATCACCCTTAATATGTATTTTTAGCATCTTTATCTAAACTGAGAAGAAAGAGTACATACATTGGGGTAAAAATTAATATTTAACCATAGAATTAACAAAATCGCTAAAAAAGATTACAAATTACAGTAGAAATTTTGTGAACAAAAAGGCAGATTGGATAGCAGAAGGATATAAGTTTTATTTATTGTGCGTAAACTGCAAGTAAATAGAACTCATAAAATAAGTTCAAAATGTAGATTAAACAAAGGCAAATTACAGAACAATGAAAAAAAGGGAAAAAGAAAAATAATAATAAAAATAAAAATACCAAAAAACTGGAAGAAAAAAAATCCGCAAAAAAGGACAAAAATTTAATGAAAAATCCGGATATAACAAACTTTAGATATTTCAAGCATTTCTTTACCAATGGCTCAACCTGAAACTTTTTTGCAACAAATAACAAGCTTACGGCTTTTTCTTCGTCCATTTCACTGATTTTACTAGTATATATGTATTCTATTAAAGACTTTAAAGTTTTGGTTTCAACATCAGGAATGTCCACAGTGTCGTCTGGTATGACAATAGTCTCGACTACTTTCTGAGCAGTGGACAATGGTCTATGACTGGACCCCTCTATGTAATATGGTCTGCCTTTCTCAAACGCTTCCCTGAATACTGGTGATCTGATTGCCAGAATTGCTTTGTGAGCAGGTATTATTTCATTATTAACACGCAATTTAACATCAGCAAAGGTTTTGTCCATTAACAAATTATAAAGGTCTCGGTGCAGATGTGTAATACAATCAGTAACGGAAACTACTTCTGAGTTTGCGTTTGGGATCAATGGAGGCTGGTTATCACAACTTTTCGATTCACTGTTCTTGGTCCAGCATCCATTTTTATAATCAGGATTTTCATTATCAGCTCCATCAGGAATCGATAGAGGATGATAGTCACTATTTTTTAATTCGCTCCTCTTGGTCAAGTGTCCACTTTTATCCTCAACTACATTAGGGTTAGCATTCGGGAGCAATTGGAGAGGGTCGTCACATCTTTTCAATTTCAAAAATTCTTGTACTCTTTCAGGTTTTTATAATAATTTAATTTATTAGATTTTCCATGCTTAAAATGAAAATTTACCCTTAGTTCTCCTCGTTCGAAGCATTCGGCTTTGTTAAGATGTCGTTTCGAAAAAAAAGGTGTTACAGGCAATGTTTTGGTGCATTTACTAATGCTATACCAACTGGATTTTTCAAATACTTTCTTATTACTGGCATCAGTCAGGATTACAGAGCACCAGAATTCGTGTTCCCAGCTATCGTTAATATTGGATCAAAATTCAATTTGAATTCCGTCAGTAGTATACTTAAAACTTATTCTTAAATCTAACGGTAAGGTTCCGACATTTATACGCTCCAATGCTGTCCAGTTTTCAAAGTCAGTAAACTTAAAATTCCAGTTAAATGACTCGCTATATTCAGTTATCCTTGTTTCAACTTCACAATTTATGATCGCAAAATCGCTCGACAACAGTAAAAATCCAGCTTGTGCATAAGCCAAGTGACATCGTAGAGTTAAATTTTTTTCAGTACATTTGGATTCTTCGTTTATTAGCTCTTTGATATCAATTAAATTATATTTAATTGTAGTTGTTGATTTTTCTAAAATAAGAGTAAAATCTTCTGATGATTTTAAAATTTTGCCCATGGAATTAATCAGTTCAAACCGATACTTCAAATCTGTGTTCTTATTCATTGCTTTGTAGTCAAGCAGGGCAAGAAAACAGAAAATGTAATTTTTTTTCTTGTAAACATCTAATCCCCACTCGCTGTCTCCTAAACTTCCAGCTTTAAATATGGGACACATATAGTAAAAGTCATTTTCAAACTTACATCCTTTAATAGTCCAATTAATTAAAAAATATCCATTGTTTCGTGCATCCATTTTCCACATTTAAGTAAATTTAAAGACTGATGATGAAAAGCAAGTTTCAAACAATGATTTATCACTAACACTCATACACCAGTTCTTCTGCATTTCATTTGTTTGAAAGAACGTCACGTGGTTAACGTCTACTTTCTTGTTATCTTGTATGTAACGTCACATTATTTTGCTTCAGATGTTTTTTAGTAGTGGTTGGAACTTTTCAAAGCCGAAGATACAAAACGATTCCCTTTTAATTACTTTTATTTATTTTTAAGAGTTGTGAATTATTTCTATTTCTATATGAATATTTTTGGGGTTAAGAAGATTTTTATTGTAAATAAAACTCTGTGAGCTCATAAATTTCAGTATGTAAAAAATAATCATATCTTTTGGAAAATAATGGATACATAAAGCCTTGCAAATATTTTTGTTTAAATTATACCAGATACATTTTACGTATACATGGAATAAGGAATTAAATGGCAGAGAATCGATAAAAAAAGATATCGAAATTAATTTTGTGGAATGAAAAAAAAAGAATAATACGCTTGTAAAATTACACATTTTCAAAAAAAAATAAAAAATAATAGAGGCAAGTCACTAAAATAGATTCAAAAACTATGTCTGTAACACAAATTGAAATAGGTTTTTTTTAAAATTCAAAATATGTTAATACAGTTGAATAAATAGCATAATATTTTCAGATAAATCAAAATCTAAAAACATATTATTTTGAAGGTGTTAAATTTTCTAATGTCCCTCATAATGTATGATGGATTAAGGTGTATTATATAAGATCACCCTTAATATGTATTTCTAGCATCATTATCAAAACTGAGAAGAAAAAGTGCACACATTGGGGTAAAAATTAATATTTAACCATTGAATTAACAAAATCACTAACAAAAATGACAAATTACAGTTATATATATATATA